GTTTGCAGCAGTGAATGAAACCAGGGTAGAAATCTGGGATCTAAGTGTGAGCACGTAAGTAACAGTGTTTCCTAAAAATGATTTCCAACCAACACTAAACAGAATAAAGATCATACACTACATTTCTATTGTCTCATGGCTACAATTGGACTACACCAACTGTGTTGCCAGCATATTAATAAATTTATCCAGCAGATTATTCATATTTCTGATCCTGAAGAACTTATATTTTTCTACATCCCCCCCCTTTCCTTGTATGTCTTTCTTAAGGAATAAGCTAAATAGTAGTAAGCTCTTTTGCAAGACAGTTGTCTGAAAAGTAGATAAAATGTAACATAATTAAAATAATACATAGAAAATATTTTTAGGAAACAATAAATAAATAATATTAAGCAATAATTTGGTAAACAATGCCTTGCAGTGGAACATGCCAAACAATTCTCCAGTTCCAGCTGCACATCTTTTGCTATTTATAGGTTGGATCCCCTGATTGTGAATCCTGCTACTGGCAATTTGAAATTCACAACTGTACTTTTTGCTAAAAGTGCAGATTGCCTTCTGATTGGGGACAGTGATGGACTAGTCACTGTTTATGCACTGAAAAATATGACCGTCTCAGACAGAAAGAAGGTATGTTTCGCTGCATAAAAAATCAGCATTACTCTGTACCTGATGCAAGCAACTAAACCTGTTCCTTGGTAGTAATTTATTCTTTTGAATTTGCTGAGGTTAATATTGGCCTATAACTGCATCATCATTAAGAAAGGACTGTATTTGCTGTGGATGCTAAGGCAATGGAATGAAACTGTAGAACAGGTGTTTTCTTAAGGCATTATTAAAGCACCAGCACTAGGATCACCTAATGTTAAGTGCTTTTGCTTGAGCTCAGTAATATTATCTCAGGAGAAAATAAATCAGTCAATCAATTGGCAAAAAGTGATGTACAAGTCTGAGATTGATAGTTGTGATGCATTGTAAATAGAAGATCCACGTTCCTCATTTTGAATTTGTTTACAAAATGGGGAACATGAAAAAAGGTGTAAGAACTATGTATAAAATTATAGGCTAAAAGTATTAATGAATGTTGGTATAATTGGAACACCTGTGTCACATTTAAAATGGCCTGTAAGAATATGGTTTATGATAAATTTCAACTATATTTTTTTGTGCTAAGACAGTAATATTTAGGGCTTATTGTTGGCAATCAAAAGGTCATTTTGGATAGGACAGAAATAGAGAAAGACTAATCTATACCATAAATATTGGATATTCTTATTTATAGTATTAAAAACTAATTTTCTTTAAGATTTTTCAGAATTGAGTACACAGTGCATAGACTCTTCTTAATGTATTCAAAATGCCTTTCAATACTTTGTTTTATACCGATATATTTATTTCTTTTTCAGGTGGATATGTTGCATGATATGATCGGCTCTAAACTAGCCAGTCCAGAGTAGTTTTTTTAACTGAAATATTTAATAAAAGTGAAGATGATATAAAACATGGCATTTAATAGCTCACCACAAAAAACGTAATTATTAAATATGTATCTGGTTCTGTATATATGTCTGTGACTGTTTTCCATATATAATACATCTACAAAGACAATATGTGGTGAATGTTTTTAAAAAGTCCCTAAATGTTTTATGGAAAGTACCAGAGGTGGTATTCAGCAGGTTCTGACCAGTTCTGGAGAACTGGTAGCAGAAATTTTGAGTAGTTTAGAGAACCGGCAAATACCACCTCTGACTGGAGATTTTACAGTATCCTTCCCCTGCCACGCACACCAAGCCATGCCCACAGAACCCATAGTAAAAAAAATTAAATCCCACCACTGGAAAATACTAATAATTGATTTCAAATAGTCCTCAGTTAGCTACTATAATTGGGACCAGAAATTCTGTTACTAAGTGACAGGGCGTAAAACATGATATTACGTGTCCACACCAACTTATGATGACAGTTCTAATAGTTCTGGTTGCAGTAGCTAGGTGGGATGTCATATCACCACCACATGCCACCTCCTGCCAGCTTCTGCATTGACTTAGGTTGTCAGAAGCTGGCAGTGAAGGCCATAAATGGCAATTGTGACTGCAAACCACTGCAACCATTGTAATTGCAAGTCTGTTGCCAATCACCCAAATCAAGATTACATAATGTTGCGATGGCCACAATTTCAAGGACTGTAAATAAGTCTCCGCATTCAGCACTATTGTAACTTTTTGTGGCCTCTGAATGAACAGTTGCTATCTAAGGGTACCTGCAGAAACAAACCCAAGCATTCAAACACATATAATGAAAGATAACTCTCTTTTTTTGCTATGAATGACCTCTAGGAAAAGGCAGGTCAGTGTTTAAATTGTGCCTGGATTCAGGATTGTTTTTGTTGATGCTATTCTAATTTTTTTTTTAAATTATTGGGGGGGCGGGGAGGTAGATATAGAAAGAAAAATCCAAATTTTATTCCGTAGGTAACTAAGATCCATACTGGTATTGATTGGTTAGCATCAAAGTAAGGGAGGCCAATTTATAATTGGTCATATAAATATAGGAAGTCTCCAGATTATGAACCTCCAAGTTAGAAACAACTCCTAGTTATGAATAGGCTGCCTGCAGTATTCAAAATGGTGGGTGGCCATCTGGCAAAGAGATCCATCTCAAAAAAAGAAAGGCCAGCAAGGAGAGTCCCTGTGCTGCAGACAGAGAAGTCCTAGTGATGTTTCTCTCTTGTGCATGGCTGTGCAACACTGTCCCACTGCTATATTTCTAACCCCTCTTCTTTAGCTCACACTTTGCATGTGTTCCTACTTGCATGTCTGTCTGTGTGTGTGTGTGTGTGCTCTGACAAGCCAAGTGAGCACTGGAGATTGGAAGGTTAGGAGGTTTGGATATCAGTTCTGGGGATTTTTTTTATTTTGTGGGTGGTGGGGTTTTTTAAGGTATTTTTAAGGGCATGCTGGGTTATACAAATTTGGGGCATCTGGCACACTAAACGTGTTTTCAGCAGTTCATAGTTTGACAAACTAAATAACTAAATAACTTATTCCATTCTTACATGTAAATTCAACTTAAGGGCAAATTTAGGAATGGAACTTGTTTTAACCTGGCAGCATGCTACTTATCAGGATTTTGTTGGCTTCCAGTCCGGACGTGTAACAGATTTGCTCTGAAATATTGCTGATTCTTCAGAGTTTTATGAGAAGCAGCATTGGACACTGGAAAGGGAAAAGGTTGTTGCTGAACAAGTTCTCCTTGTTCTTCTCCAGCACAAAACCACAACTGGTCTTGTCTGCAATAATCTGCAGATAAAAGGAAACCTCCAGCCCAATCTAGACCAGTCACTCCATATATAGGACTTATGGCTTTTCCATTCTTAACTGATTTAAAGGTTCTACATTATTGAATCATTCTAAATCTTGTAAGCTAGGGAGCTGTCACAAACAAATATTATAATTTTTAGTTGTATCATCAAATTGGCTTCCCAAGCATGGCAACAAGAACAGAATGTTTAAACAGATCAAATTATAAACTGGTTAGAAAGCATTAACACCGATCCCTAAGTGCAGTTTACACATCTTTATGAAGAAATTATGTGACAACTGTCTCCTGTCATGTTTCTAAAGAGGGCATGCATTAGAGTGAACAGTGTGTTAATCATTATCCTTCTAAAAGTGACAAAAGGATGCAACCTTTCTTTTAAGAGCAGATAGAGATCGTTTTTATTTGTTGGTTCTACTAAAGAACTGAATATTTTAATGCTTTTGTAAGCTGAAAAGTATCATCAAGGTTAATGATATTCTATGTCAAAGTTAACAGTCATCAACACTTATGTCTTGAAGTTGGAGAATGTATGTGATGCAAGTATCAATAGGTTTCTTTATTTTATAGCTACTATGTATTTTAAAGCAAAAATAGATGAACAACTAGTCTCAGCTACTTTTTCCAGTAAAAAAAATAGAAAGAGACCTATTTATATAGCTGGCCAATATTCAACGGATTCTGAGGAAGTTACTTCCTTTCTAGTCCAAAAGTTAATTTAATTTAACTTTTAGTAGATATTCCAAAGGATCTGGGATGACAGAAGCCCCTAAAATGAGTACTGTGTACCAACCTCTGACCTTCAAAAACACCCTTTAAAAAAGCACCATATAATAAATTCTAAAAAATCTCCATACCCAAACTACCAAGTGTGTAATGAAGTACAATTATAATTGATCAAACAATCCAGATCAGAATTTGTCAAAGGAAAAATGAAAACGATATACATTTGCATACTGACAGGCTTCTTTTCTTAATAATACAAGTTTCTCTGAGCTAGCTTGCTTCCTTACAAAAAATATATGGGTGGTTGTTCCCCCCCCCCCCCCCCCCCCCAGTGGCAAAAGTAACTTACTTTGCACTCCAAACTGCAGTTTTGTGAGTTTTTGTATATATCATTTAAAGATATATACAGAATAACATAACTGAAGATTACCTGTGTGTGTTTCCTCATGTTACACTTACCAAGAATTTCTGTCATTGTACTTGGGAATTGTTTTGCTGTTCTTGCTCCAATATTGCATCTTCCATAATTCACTGCACACCAACTAGAAATAGGCTGTAAACAGCTCTCCTAGAATGGTATCCTACTGTTCTAACAGGCTACTAGCCTGACAACAGCCTTGTGTCCATTTCTTCTGTTTATGCATCTTACCTTTATTATTTTTATATGCACCTTAAAGCAGCAAATATATCTAATAGTCCTTCCATCTCCTATTTTCCCCACAACAACAACTCTGTGAGGTGGATTGGGCTGAGAGAGAGTGTGACCAGCCCAAAATCACCCATTTCATGCTTAAGATGGGACTAGAACTCACTGTTTCCTTATTTCTAACCTGGTGCCTTAACTGCTAGGCCAATCTGGCTGTCTTTCTTGTTTCTAGTGATGGAAATAGAATCCTTGGAAAAGACAAAAGTTAACAAGCTCAACTCACTTTTCAAGGATCAGGCAATCAAAAATAATTGTTTCAGTACTAATATAGGCATGTGGAGTCAGGTGGCAAAATGTTGATCATGAAGACCTAATGCAAGGTCTAACATAATTTATGTAGATATCAGGATGCAATTATATTTGGTGAGTTTGAGTTATAATGCCATCCATGCATGTTATTTTTAATATCACTATGGTTAGCTGTGAACATCTACGAGTGCTATCAAAAGTTAATTCTGTTATCAACAATTGTTTTCAGCGATTGTGAATAACTGTGCTCATAGTTATTTTAGTTTTATCTATAGGCAGAAGCCAAAGCAAGACACTTTTATGATCTAAAGGCTTTTTCTCTGAGTTTCAACTCTCTGCAACATCCTATGTCATTCTTGCTAGGTGAAATGCATAATTTCAGAAACCGATACTATCTTAAAATAGATTATATCAGAGTGCAGCAGAAACATAGAAAAACAAATCAAAACACGAAATTATTGTCTCTCATTCCAAAATTATTCATTGATGGTTTTCAAAATTGGTGCAAAATTTAAATACAAAAGATCAATTGCTGGACCAACACATAGATGATTAAAGTGTTGGAAAAACTCAGGGATTCCAATAATTCTGCTAAATGTTCCAAAGCAACTTGGAATGTTCTTACTAGCTAAGTTAATCAACTGCTTAAAAATTAAGCAGCCACAATAACTTGCACTTCGTTAAATATCACAAGCAAAACTTTGGGATGTGGGCATGAAGTGCACATTTGTAATATTGATCTAAGACAGAATAATTCTATAAACGTTCTGGAACACTGACTGCAGCTGTTCTTGGCCAATATAGTGATATACTGAAACATCAGTAACTATTTGAGAACAACCCAGGCACATAACCCACAGCACTTAAAGCCATCAGAAAAACATTTTACTAGTTTTGCCCACGTCATTCAACCAACAGCCCAGATACATATAAATTGATGCCGGATCTCAGCATGAACCTCTGTTGGCTCTTTACTTCTTTCCTGCTCAGATTGCTACCAGGTGTTTTATCTACAAAATGAAGGTGGTACTAGTAGGGCTGCTTTTTCTCTGTGTCATGGCCATACCTTCTGAAGCAACAACTATTAAACTTTGCGGGAGAGAATTTATCAGAGCTGTTGTCTTTGCTTGTGGAGGATCACGGTGGAGAAGACAACTTGGTGATCCTTTCTCAGACGGGCTCAAAGGTGAGCATACAAATTGCCCAAATGTTTGTAATTTTGGCATGCGATCAGTCATTGCAATAAATTTACCATTACCTTGATATGCTATGGTTTAACGGAAACATTTTAAAGATGAGTTATATTATAAAATTAATAACATAATAACTTAGAAAAGAGGCTACCGTGGATAAATCTCATTCTGCCTTATTTTGATGGTAGGGGCACCAGAGGAGGTTCTTAAATGGACTAGAGCTGGCAGTTACCTTTTCAAGTCCCTATGCCTCAACCTGTGCAAGCTTTGAAATATGCTACATAATATTGTGAAAACTATTGCATAGGATAATACATATTAATCAGTTTTTAGATTTCTACAAGTTATTTTTTAAAGATAGCTGTTGGGATTATTTTGTTTTAAATAGTTAGATACAGATATTTAGAGACTTAAGTATAGAATATAGCAATTTCGAACTTTAAAGGAGTCTGTTCGGATATATATTTTGGTGAATGAAGAAACATCTCTTAAGACTCAGTGAAATCAGGTGCATACCAAGATTACAAAACTCATAAATCAGTTTGCTTTTGATCTTTTGAAGTTAGTATATAATTCCTATTCTAATTGGAGAAGCCTTTGGAAAAAAAATATAATTTTCTTCATTCTTTTGAAAAGGTTAGCTTCAATTGGGGATATACTTTCTGGGAAAGCAATGCTTGTTCCAGTATAAATTCTTATGATTGAAACTTCCAAGTCGATCTAAATATTAACAACAGATTATGCACACACAGAAAAATTTAAAAAACATAAGCTTTTATTTGGTAATAGTTTCAGATTTTAGGTTTGTGGAGATAAAAATACATATTCATACTGTAATTTAATTTCATTCAACAGATGCCAATGGAAATTACATGGAGAAGTCAAAATCCCAAAGCAATGAATTAATCCAGTACTACATGGAGTCTGAGAAAGATTTGCAAGACAAGCAACAGAAGTCTGTACAAAAAAGAAATGAGGATTTCGTACAGCTTACAATCACTTGTTGTGCTATTGGATGCAGTGCAAATACTATAAATTCGCTGTGCTAAAAATATTAAAATCCATCCATGGAAACTTATCTAAATAAGACACATCCTGTCGAGAATATAGTGTTTCAAATCTTTTCTGTTACTCTTTGTATTTCCCGTTACTTTTCTGTTACTCTTTGTATTTGTGTTTCTCTTTGTATTGCAGATGCTCCTAGCTGCTATTCTGTTTAGGATGTTACACAAATTAGAAACATTTTTCCCATATTTGTGTATCAGCCTCTGAAGTTAGCTGCTTTGTTTCCTAATTTTTGAAATAAATGTGTAATTCGTTTCCCTAGACTGTTCTTGTCAATGCATAAAAATAGTATTGGGCTTGCAAATTAAAAAATCTCTGAACATGTTTCACTTTCTTAGGGAGTTAAATGTTGAATGAATGACTAGAGCTCAGTGGTTCAGCAAATCCATGATAAAGCTAATAGAAATCCTGACTGAAATCCTGGAATGACAGCCAGAAGAGACAATACTGATGTAGACATTCCAATGTTTATTCTTCTAATTACTTTTTGCCAGGACTGATCTCAAAATAAAGATGCTTCTGAGGTTTTTGCAAGGAAACCTGCAAATAATGATGATCAATGTTTGAATTTGGGGGAAAGAGTGCAGGAAAGAGAATGTTGCTTTTTTTTTTTTCAGAGATAAGGAAAGGCCTACCAACATTCTTGGTTGAAAAACTTGGTTTCAAGAAATGCTCAGTACTCCAGAACAGCTGCAGCCCATCTGCTACATATTCCACCCCTACTTAAAGCCTCATTACAGATGCATTTTAATTGGGGTGGGTTGGGGGGAATGTTGCCTCCATTGGACCACAGATTTCAGATGGTGACTGTGATGTCTCGACTCATAAGCTGCAAAGTTTTGTGACTGCCTTACTGTGATTACAACTTTTCATGCCTGAAATTTAAATCAGCTTCAAATCAGGTGCTATTATCTGGGCTACTTATTCTTGTGCATTTTGGTCTTCTAAGATGAGTTATCATGCACTTATTAATGGAAAAATATAAATACAAATAGACAAAAGGTAGCCATAAATGGTTTCTACATATTTTTATTTCAAATTGAATCTTTAAATTTCTTTTTTAAACTTTATACAGTTTATCAATACATTTAACATGTTTTTATTTTTATATTATTCAGTTGTAGCTGTTCAATAGGCAGCCTCTTAAGAGTGAGTAGACTGCTCCTTAATCAGTCTTGTTCTTTGTCTGATCATTTTACAAAAAGAAAAGGAACACCACTTCAATTACTACTGCTATTATCTAATTTGCACAGTACCATATGGTTTCCCATTGCCTTTCTGTTAACATATACATTTCTCTGAAAAGCCAAATTGTGTTTCTAATGGGTCAGCTTACTTTTCAAACTAATTATCTGTATAAGTATAAATAAATCTGCTTATGCTTATACACCAATAATTATTCAAGAATGTAATTGGATTTCACATTTAAACCTATTATTCCATCAAGGATACTGAATCTCTTTCTGAAAACCTGTAGTGGTGCTTAAAAGTTTGTGAACCCTTCTGAATTTTCAATATTTCTGCACAAATATTACTGAAAATAGTACCTGTTCTCCACACTAAAGAGAACCCAATTAAACGAATGAGTCAAGAACATATTTGTTCATTTATTTATTGAGCAAAATGCTTCTAAATGACACATTTGTCATTTGCACATGTGCAAATATGCAGAACCACTGAAAAGTCAAAAGGGTTCACAAATTTTTAACTACCACTGTATTCAGGACCAAAAGCCCTGTGTCATTTATTGCAATTACAATAGTGGTGTCTCAAAAAGTTTTTCTTCCATAAACTTTTTCTTCCATAATTAATAGATTATTTAGCAAACATAGCAACAATGCACATTAGTTTATTAATGCAACTTATGTTAATGTGGATAGAAGTGTAATTCAAAAATAAGATCGAGTTTGTTTTTTAGCTCACGTTTTTTGTATCATTCAGAGTAAAGAGCATAGACATTTGCAAGAGCAAACAATGATCTATTTTTAAAGGAGTATGAAAAAAAAGTATCACTTGTAGTGTCCCAGAGGCATCTACTTCCAATCTGCATGCTCTGTTTACATAGCTGTCCAATGTATATAATCACAATTATTTTGAATCTTGGTACCATCAGGTCTTTTATCCTGGCTTTTATTACCTAGGAGAAAAATATACTTGCTTAAACTCTTTGTTATTGTTAGAGAGTTAAAATATTTTAGAATACAGTACACATCTGTTTAAATATTTAACCATTCCATTCTAATTACAATGTATTATTAAATTTGATTTATAATTCCAAATAATTTAGAATAGCAAATACCCTTCACTGAAAATCATAAAGCTGATTCTACAGTTAGTCAGGGCACTTACTCCTAAGTTATAGACATTTATAAATTTTTAAATTATAAATTGGATCATAAAGTCTTGACTTTCAACTGTTCCCTCATGCAGCGGTGACATCATATTCAGGGGTGGGATTCTACCAGTTGTTAACATTCTAAGCAGTTCGGAGAACCGGTTGTTAGAAGAAATTACTGGCCTAATCCTGTAAGGAAGGCAGAAAGGAAACATTCTGGTGTTGCTTACAGAAACTGCCTCTCCGTTAACCCTTATTACATTCTTGGCAGGACTAGACTTCCTGTCTCAGGAATGTCTCTGGAGTTTTTTTCCCTTCTTTTGCTGGTACAATGCTTGTGTGGAATGACCATTCAAAGTTACAATGGCACTGAAAAAAGTGACTTATGACCATTTTTCACACTTATGTGTGTTGCAGCATCGTCACAGTCATGAGAGGCAAGGCGAGGAGATGCGTGCCTCGATGTGAGTGATATTGAGTTGGCCACGCCCAGCCAATAACATGACCACCAAGCCATGTCCACCCAGTCACATGCCCAGCAACTAAGGCACGCCCACAGAACTGGTTGTTAAAAATTTTGAATCCCACCTCTGATCATATTCAATATATGGGAAATATATAAAGGCATATAATAAAGAAAAGTACATTCTAAACAGGCTGAAAAGTTATTTGCAATTTTTTTATTTTACAAAAGAATAGTAAAGTAGCATTAGAAGCTTCTCAACAAGTAACTTGATATATAAATCATAGCTGAAAAAGTTCATTTGAATGTGTCCTAACATAGGCTAGCACAATTATTAAATATTTTTAAAGCTATCTTAATATTTCTCTCTTAATGTCCCATTTGTCGAACTCTGTTGCTGAAAAACAATTGAACCTTCCTTCAAATACAACTTAAGATAGGCTCGCCTCTATCTGCACTTTAGGGTTTCTATAAGATCTATTCCAATATTGATTTTAATTCTTACTTTAATGATAATTTTGTACCTCAGATATAGTTTTTGTCATTTGCCTGCACAACTCTGCTTCATATTGTTCTTCCTGTAGATAACTTACTACCACATCCTTCAAGATATTATTCACAGCAGTGATTGGGAAATACTTTGTAGGACCTGAGAAGCAGAGAGAGAGTACATAGCATTATTCCAGAAGACTCTAATATGAAAAAAAGCCTTGACTGTAGATCCAACAAAAGCAAACTCATTTTATTTAATCCATGTCATTCCTTTCTATTCAATTAAAAGGTGGATAACAATTATTAAAACAGAAATAGGAAAGATGTGTGTAGTGAGTTTAATATTAATCAACAGTTAAAATTTGACAAAAGAGCCTCTTCTTTATAAATTTGCTAAACACAGAGAGAAAAGGGGGCTAATGTAATTTCTAAGGTTCCATAGCCTGGAAGGATGCAGGAATAGGACTTTATTTCTGATACCCATTTAATGATCTTTGCAAAAGTGGAATCTTCAGTTCCTAATGCCTCAACAGATTTACACTCGGGGGAGTTGTCCTTCAAATAGTTGGTCCTTAGGCTGTTTAGAGCAGAGATTCTTAATTTTTTGTGTTCTCTTCTCTCTGAGAATTTGATGAAATCTGCAAAGCTTTATCAAAAAAATGGATTCAGTGATGCTGAAGTGCCCCAAGACATTTCCTAAACAGCATTTCTATCTTGATAAATTTTAATTTCAATTTCCCCCACCTCCACTGAGCCCATTATCAAACTCAGAAGAGAGGGTTTTTGGAATAATGGTGGGTTTTGTTGATGTACTGATGGCACCTCATTTCAAGATTCTGATCTCCCAAGTGACTGAATCTAGTTGTTGAACAGCACGGAGGACTGAATATAACGCTTTGAGACAAAGCAGGTACGTCTTTGATTTCCAAAAGTATTTCCTTAGCCCTACCTTCTCAAAACCAACTGAGAGAAAAGACTTAAACTGCAAAACTGTTACATATTACTTGGAGCTATGTATTTTGTTGGTAGCTTTCTGGGTTAAATATGTTTTTTGCTGATCTCTCATGTTGGATGGCAACTTTATATTTTAATGAGCGTCTCCCTGAAATTTTGAATTATATTAAAGCAGAATACATATATTTAGTGTCTGTGAATGTCATTTTTTGCAAACTGGATTTAAATAGTGTAAAGCTGTTGATTTATAAAAGGATTGAATAATAGCATTTTTATAAAGAGTAAAGGACCATATTTTTGTTTATGAACCTCCCATTTTTTATTTCATTTCTCTTTTAAAATTATTTTTATTGTAACTATACATTTGTCAAGGTATAGTATATAATACTTTTTAACCTATTTCTTTACTTTCAAAGTGCAGTATATGCTTGAAATTATATTATGAAATAATTCCAAATTAATACAAAGTTTGGCAGCTCCATACCAAAAAATTTGATTGCCAGCAAGACATTTATAATCTTCAAAAGGAAATGTTTCAATAGAGTTATAAGCTAATATTTCCTTCCAACAGATAATTTTCTAAATTGTATTCTTTATTTGTACTGCATCTATGTTTTCATTCCTACCCAACTGGAAGCAGAAAGGCTAATTTATTTTGCATTAAACTGTTTTAAACCTGCTGATAACAAAAGATAAAGCCTTCTAAAGATGTTACTATTAAATATATCCATCCTCAAATCCTGCCATATTGTGTCATTATACTAAGAGGGGTATTCCTGGGAGGGGATGTGCAAAGAATGCCTGCAGGAATGCTAAATATATATGCTCCCA